CAGCAGCAGGAAAGCACAAGCTAGCAGCAGCAGGAAAACACAAGCTTGCAGCAGCAGGAAAGCACAAGCTAGCACCAATAGGAAAGCAAAAGCTAGCAGCAGTAGGAAAGCACAAGCTAGCAGCAGCAGGGAAGCACAAGCTAGCAGCAGTAGGAAAACACAAGCTTGCAGCAGCAGGAAAGCACAAGCTAGCACCAATAGGAAAGCAAAAGCTAGCAGCAGCAGGGAAGCACAAGCTAGCAGCACCAGGAAAGCACAAGCTAGCAGCACCAGGAGAGCACAAGCTAGCAGCAGCAGGAAAGCTCAAACCACACGGTTTCCTTCTTGCGTTCATGATATTCCTCATTATTCACAAGTAAAAAATTTCAGGGAAAACCTGGCAAAACTGAAATGATCCCCTCTAATTTCAACTTCATTTCCAACTTTCTGACTTTGTTACTTTGGAGGTACATGAGAAAGACGGGCAAAAATTTGGTAGAAAATGGATTTTTATCACGTGCAATTTAGCAATATTGAGGGACTTCGAGTGTTAAAATACTGATTGGTATGGAAACGAGGGGTAAACAACTACATGTATACCTGAGCTTGATTTTGATATATTACTTTAAGGGTCCACCTGTCCGAGTCAAGAGCCATTTTATTGGCTTCTGGCTGTTGTGGAATTCAGTACGCATGCGCACAAACAAAGTGAGGGGCATGAACATACATGTATGTGAGAAGGAGATTCTGAGGTCATGTTAACCACCCCCCCACAACATCAGCCACACAAGCACACACATGAACAGGAAATAAAGGGCATGTCTGCACTCTTCATCAAGATCGATGAATCAGAGAGCGAGAATAATATAATCTAGTACCCAGTCTCTTTACTTGTAGCATGCACTTTTTAAAAGTTCATCATCTCAGTGACAAGCCCCTTTTTACATGTACATGGACAGGTTCTGTTTATTTCCCTTTCAATGCCCCAAATCAAATAACAAAACTTCAGGGAACTATGTCTGAAGTTGCCATTCCCAAAAGAATCTGCTGAATAAGAATCTCATCTTTATGCAGGTGCAAAGAACACACATTGAACTAACCTGCAGGGTGAAAACCGAACATCATTAAGGCTTCACATGCATAATGAAGTCGTTCAGAATAATCAAATTAATTCCACCAGAATTGAGTTTCATGAGTCCTGTGCAGAGACTGTTGTCATGAGAATAACACCATGACACATCTTACCAGTACATGGTACAATCACGTGACATGATCTTTGCTCACTCTAAAATCTACCTTCATGTACAATGTAAGTAAGGCAAGTGGTCCAAGTGCATCTAGAGAATGCAGTCCCTGCTTGTGCATGTACAGTTTAATGTGGTGTGTCAAATGACATATAGAGTACCGAAGTGTGACGTCACTGTGAACCAGATAGTGCAGTGCAAACGAATAGAGTACGCGCGTGTGTTGGTTCACGCGCTGGTTCTCGCGCTAATGCCTTTTACACACTAATTGTGTGTGTGACGTAGTCACTCCGGTATTCTATTGTGGCAAAGTCTACTCTGAACAAATCCTCTGAATTTCTACTAATTTCAGGAAAGCAGAGAGTTTCACAACTAATGTTTTCCAACCTGCCCAGAGAAACTCAATACAGCGAGTACGGTATTTAATGAGAGCAGCCTCGTCAACTCTCAGCAGAAGGGAAAGTAAAACATGAGGCAGTTTTGACCAAGGTTTAATCATGTTTCTTTGACCAAGCTCAAACACAAATATCAAAAGTATCTGTGAAATCATTCAATGAGTGCATAGACATGACCCTTCCTTCTACCGGTATACTGTGAACCTCTTCAAGTCAATTTTGATCATGCGATCATGCTGAAGTTCGAAAGAAAATCTAGAAATTGTACCTTCTGAAAAAAGTTCTCATTCTCATAACATAGCATATTTTGTGAACTACAGCAAAACACACTTTCCCAATTAATGTAATAATGATAAAAAAAACCTTTCTTACACCATCTTAAAAGGAGATTTCAAGAGACTGCTCCAGTCAAATTTCAACCCAATAACAGCATCCAATGAGTTGTGTTGCACCTGAGAATGTAACACAAGATACATTTATATAGCAGTTCCAGACCAAATCACCAACAATCTTGGTCACATTCTGCACCTTTTCGGTACCGGGGTAACTCTTACACAGACCTGTGTCTCGTTTCATTTTATCCAGGGATGGCATGCATGTGGACCTTCATGAATTTGCTGGACCATTACAAACACGCATGCACCTTGTCTACTGGGAACTTCTAAATGCCTGAAATCCTGGAAATCGGGTCTTCTAGTCCATGGACCTACAGTACATGTACTTGAAAAATTGTCTCCAAAAGGGTTCACTTCACACCCACACTCCCGCACCGTAGTTGTGGGGACACACACTGTACACTCGACATTTCACAAATTTTGTGGGGACCGAAAACATTGTGGGGAATCAGAAACGTCCCCACAACTCGGTTCAAATTTCCCTAACATAAGAACTTGTCCCCTTAACGCGGTGAATGCCTACCCAAGAAAACCCACCCACACACACATGGCGCTTGACCAAGGTCCAACTGAGACAGAGTAACCAATGTGGCACACATGTGCTCGTAGCCATGGCAACAGAAGGTTGGTTTCTGCGAATCTGAAGGCTCAGACATGGAGCCAAATCCTCTGGGCGTGAAGTGCACGTAGTCATGTTGGGCACTTAGGGCCTTGTGCAAGTGGTAAACTCTCAAGAAAAGCATACTAAATGTAGTTTAAACATAGTGGTGTCCCGCAATGTTGTGGATGGGCCCAGGACAGAGGTAAAACACTCATTGCAGTAAAACTGAATATATGTACTTGTGCCCTCTGTATCACTCATTAAGCTTTAAAATGTTAAACTTAAACAGTAGTCTTGATGTTTTAATTCAAAAAGACCTTTGTTTTCTCATAAGCAACTGTTTCAATCCAGGTATCTTTCTCAAAAACATCTGCATCAATCCCACGAGAATCCTGAAGGAAAATACAACCACCAAAATGTCAGGTCCTCAGATCTGAGATCTGTGTATTTCAGGTTAATTTTGTCAGCAAGCAGTTTGCAGTCGTTTTGTATCATTTACATTTTAGAAATTCTAAATCCTCACAAAATCCAACGTGTGGTTTGGAACATTTTGAACGATGTACACGGCACTTGATGTCACAAACAGACTGCAACTGGCAGACTGCAACTGGCTGACTGCACTGTGTTAGATTCAGGAAGGATTTCTACATAATCTTCACCCCGTGCTGAAAGACCTTTTAAAACTGTTCGAGAGGAAACTTCGATTCATTTGAATTTCTTTCCGTGCCAGGCTCAATGACAACATCTCTTTTTCTTTCCAGAGGCTTCCAAGTTAAAGGAAAAAAGGAAGAAAATATCAGTGCCCTTCAGTCATTAAGCATTTCAAGTAAATTCCTAAACACATCTTTGTCTCACAGGGGACGTGCTTATGTGCATGTCAAATGACCGCATCTACTTAACCACTTGTCCTTTGGGACGCTGTAACGCTGTGGAGTCTGCAGGGGTTTCTCAAAACTCAGCTTTGGCTTTGCTATTTGTATTCATGAATTCTGTCAGGTGATTTGAGACCCTTGGGATCCTTGTGGCTCTGTTTACTGCCACTGATATCAGATTGTCTTGACGTGAGGACAAAGGTTGAAGTACATGTACATGGATTTCCATTTGATTCTAACAGTTGTTAGTGCAGCAAAATGCGGACATGAAGCCGTGTTTAGGGAAACCCCCTTAATTTACCTCATCATCCAAGCTGGCTGCCTCCATATCCACCGTGTTGAACTGGACACGCTTGAAGACTTCCTCTAATGTCTCCACCACGCGGATGTCCACTTTCTCCCCTGAGGACAAGGAAGTGTCATTGATGAGGCATCAATTAACTGACTGCAATATTTAATGCTCATTTGTTGACGACACTGCTCAGCATTAATGATGAACAGCACAGTGGTGTTATTAATATTCTATTCTAAGAGATCTGATGGCATCTAAAATATGGAAGAAATTGATACTGGTGGCAGCCTTGTGAAAACGTGTTGTTGATATTGAGCAATGAGATTAACATTCTATTTATCTGCCCCCTTGCATTTACATGTACGGTACCGGTAGTTTTACTTTGCATTACTATAGTTACTGTTAAGATTTCTCTGAATAGTGGCTATACGTACATACGCATGTACGTTGTACATGCATTACATGTAAAACAAGTTTACTTGTTTATAACTTAATTTCTGAAGTATTAAGTATTTATAAACCAGTGCATGTGATGACATGAATTTCATTTCAAAGACCAATAAATGTTTTGAATTGAGCTGAATTATGTTTACAGTCTTTCATTAGTATTAAAATCAGAAAGCCAAGAAGAAACATTATGCATCAACACATGGGGAATAAATTTATATACAATTTGTTCAGTTCATACCAAAATTTCAGTTCTCGAAATATTTTTAAAAAGCATTAATTTCCAATTTTTTGTAAAAACCTATACATATTGGCATAACCTAAAATCATGAAAAAATAAAACAAACAACAAAACAAACAACTGAATTTAACACACAAGGAAAGAATTCCAATCCTTTACAAACACACTTATGAAACCTGTCCAAAACACCTTGCTCAAGGACCATGAGTAAATGATTATAATGTACACAAACACCAAAAAAAACATGTAACATTTTACCAGGACAAAGTTTGCATCTAATCTGTCCAATCATTTCCTATCTTCATCGCTGTCATATGACATATATTAGAGTCATCAATCAGTGCTACATGTACCTGGTATAAGCAGTTCCAGTTATTTAAGGGCTCATGAATGTAATACATTTAAATAAACAGTTGCCAATCCCCCAACAGGTACCAGTAATGGACTGAGTACGTGCTTATAGACCTGCATCTTTGTGTCCTGTGTGGCATAGCTTTCTGTATTTTAATTTTGGCTACTGTTTTTGAGGTATTTTGGATTTTTATGTCAATGAGACGCTGCACGTTCATGAGCAGAAGTTCTATCACAATGAAGAAACTTAGTATTGCTCTATTCTGGCAATAAACACGGTCAGAATTGTGGATACCTTGCTGTCGTATGTTTTGCTTACTTCAGGCATTTCAATAAACAATAGTAGGCAAGTGAGCAAAGTTACATGTATCTGTTTCTCAATGAGCAAATTCTGGGTTCACAATTTGGACAGAAAATCCCAAAATGAACAGTACATGTACCTTCCTGAAATGGCATCGTAGCAATGTTTAGCACCGTCCCTTGTCAGGAAAAACGTAGACAATTTTAATGAGATTAACCAAAAAGAGTAGAAAATTGGACAAAATACAGTACCGGTACACTGCAACTGAAAGTAAACCTCAGAATGGGATGATTCTCTTCTGAGGTAATTCATATTCATTTCGCAAAATGTGAAAAACTTTACCCCAAGTGAGACAAAATTTTCAAAGATTTTCCCACAAGTGGGAAAAGATTTTCAAACATTTTTCTATTAAGACTTTCACAGATTTTAAATCATCCTACTGAACAGTTTTGCCAATGGCTTAGCTTAAAAAAATTGAATAGAAATGGCCTGCTGACATTAAGTCTAGTATTTTTATCTATTATCTTCATTTGGCTGCTCCAGGATGTGGATGCGAGGAAGTCGTTCCTTCATTAAACATTTACACTGCCTACTGGGAGTTTATAGGAAGTGACTGGAAACATGCTAGCCAAATTTGTAACAGACAGAAAAACATCACACGGATGTGTGATCTCCTGTATTGGTAGAATAGGAGATTTAGCCATTGTTTGAAATCTGCTCAAACCCTCAGTGCAAACAATGGCACCTGCTATATGTTACCTCCACCAGATTTATCAACCATGGCCGTGGATTCCCAGAAATAGCTACAAAGTTATTTAGACTCCCACAAGAACCATCCATTAAAAAAGTCTGATCGGATCCATTTCTTATTGATAGTTTTAATAAACAGGTGATTCTTTATCCTTATTAGTCCTTTTGAACTACATGTACCGAATAATGAATTAATGCAATATTTCGGTACCTTTTGTGCATACATGTAATTTTCATGTCTTACTACGGTACATCACTGAATTGATGTCTTTTTTTTTTACTGTAACATACCGTCATAAAAACCAAACCACACAAAACAAATGTACATGTACAAAAAGTCACCATGTAAATGACATGTTGGGTGTGTAACAGGAGGTCGACACAAAGACAAGTCTGGTAACCACGCTGGTCATGACAAACCAGACTGAGTGTATACATGTCCAATATGTACAATGTCCCTATGCACATAAACACAGTAAATGATACATACTGGTTACACATACATGTAGAAGGTGTGTAAATTAGGACTATGGGTAAGCACATGAGTGCATTAAAAAACGTTCATTACTCAACTAGGCATGAAAGACAATTCATAAAAACTATCATTGTAGTTTTATTTTGATGGAAAACAAACATGTAGCAGCTAGCTTATGAAACCCACTATACTGTACTTTTTTTCCATTTTAACTAGCTTGAGGAAGAGTTAAACATAACATACCAGTACATACAGTGCAGCGGTACTTGCTCTGTACGTTGTGGGAACTACACAATCCAAATTAGAGCTGTGCTAAATATTTGATCAATTATCAAATATTTGAATATTATTTTCCGAATTTGAATATGCAAATACAAAATTCATGACAAGGAAAGGAATATTTAATTTTGTTTTAAATGAGAAAAAATGTGCTATGGAGGCTTGTTTCAAGCAGATTCAAGTGAAAAGCGACATAAATCTTACAATGATTCAAAAAGTAAATTGATCATTGAAAAATGTAAAGAAATAGAAATTTTCAACAAGGCACTTGAGAATTACTGTTTGTCTCTTCAATCTTCCCATATCATGGCTGGAGATACTCCTAGATGTGAGAAGCGATGACAGTGATTACAAAATACAATTGTGTGCGTTATTGCAAATGATTTTGTGTCTGGTTTGTTCATCAACAATCTACATGTACCAGTCGGTAAGACCAACTATTCAGATATTCGATCGAACTGAAGGTCGAATATTTGAATAGTGAATTATTCAAATTGACTCAGCCCTAATCCAAATTAGTATAAAACAGCAAATTTAGTAAGGCAAATCATTCCCAGACTAAAGCTCAATGACAACGGGTGATATCATGAATGACACATCAGGAAGTTTTGTGGTATAGGATATGTCACACTGAAAGTTGTGATCACGTTCCTACGTGTACTTACGTGTAGGCCTACATGTACATTTACCAAAAAGGGAACCTGGACTAAACTTAGTGTCTCACAGACACTGCCACGTATTTAAATTTTTGATGGCGCATGCAGCATCAAAACCTTTTATCTTTGAAAATTCTACAGGAAATGATGAAAACCCCCCCAAAATGAATTTATCCTCAGTGTCACAGCCCTTATGGATTCCAATCACAAGTGTCCAACTGCAGAATTCTCACAGTAATCATCATCAAGGCAAACAGTGTCCTATATATGGGCTACATGTGCCAGGACTCTGTTGGTGCATATGCTTTAAAGGATTCTGTGCACAGCTAGCTGTGCCCTCGCTTGGTGGAAACCACAAGGGTTCCGGGCGGCAGGACCGCCACTTACAGAGCTGCCAACACTGACTAAGAACTGGGCATCAGGATTCAGTATGAAAAAACAGGTGCCGGCATGAAGCTGAGGAGCTGAATGCCCGCTTTTGATAGCCACATGTTCTACCTCTACAGTGTGCACAAAACATGATTACTGGTTGCCAATACCATAAATGAACTAACAAAAGGTTTTCATTGTCTTACTGTACTGTACATTAAAAGAGTTCCGGGGGGGGGGAACCCCTTTGAAATTTCTCCCTCGTCACTGTAGTGCATTTTCCCCATGCACTGAGCCTTCAGGAGTTTCTTTCAGGTACATGCACTCTTGTAGGCACTTTGCCACATGGCAGCAAATAATGGATAGATTTTCGATCAATACGTTCAATGCACGGGGCTGACAAAAATGTCAAATAACCACTACAACAAAACCACATGCTTGGATTGAGCTAAAACTCCACTGCTGTACCAAAGAGTGTCTTTCCATGCAAACAATGTTTCAGAGATGATTAGGTACGGGACAGTCAATTTTTCGGGGGGGGTGGCCGTGGGATTGGTTTGGAAAAGGGTTAAGACAGGACAGAGACAGGTCCAAAATTCATTTCTACATTTTCTGATGAAGAGGAATCCTTTATGGGATATATAAACAGCTGAGAACAAAAGAAAAAGCAGGGTGAAATGAAGCTATCTCTCTCTCTCTCTTTCTTTCTAAAAAAGGGGGAAAATGGGAGGGAAAAAGCCCCCGGGGCACCCTCTCTCCAGCAATCCTTATTTTTAGGATCTTCAACAGTTTCTTTCACTTAGTTTTGTAACTACTTTAACCCTCAATGAGCCACGTTATTTTGAGAGCGAGAAGGGAAGGGGGAGATTCTAGGAATACAAAAAAATTGTTTGAGGTGTGAACTCTGCTTCCCCTAAGCTCTCTTGGGATTAATACAAGGTGTGAATTGAGTATCAACTACATGTACCTTTGAGGGAGGGGGAGGGGATTTTTATTTCAAACAACTGAAGGATTGTGCTGCCATATTTTGGAAGAGGTTGCTAGGAAATGTGAAACTCTGGTCAATTTTTGGAAGGTGAAGATGTACACTGTACGTGCTACACAGTAGCAGGGTCCTAAGAATTGCATTAGATCTGCGACTGAGTTAGAACTTCTGTAGACCCTTCAGTGGCCCATGCTTAGGCACATGTACATTCGATTATGTCATGTATTTCATTGAAAACAAGGGCTGTTGCTGGAAGTGCACTGGTACACATTTATCAATGTCTATTGTATGCTATTCCCTGTTCATCTTTTTAAACCCTCAAAGAGCCCGGTTTCTGGAATTCTTCCCTTCCCCCGCCCTCGAACTCAGCTGTCCCATGCCCAACTTTGTAAGACTTAACACGCATCTAAAGAGACTCATGGCTAGCACAAACGTAAAATTTCAACCAGGACCGGCATATGGTTTTGTTGTTACCGACACAAGTTCAAGGCCATGCACATGTGCATGCACTGAGCATGCAGTTGAAAAAATACACATTCTTGGCTGACCTCTCTTGCAAAAATGGGCACTGCACAAGAACGATATTCCACTTTCCATGAAATTGGTGTCAAAATGACTGCAGGGTATTATTTAACAGCTCCTGAAGGCTTAGCATGTAAAACAATGCACTGTGACGCTGTCAGGGAAAAAACATGGAGGAAAGGGGACGGATTCTGCACCCCTCCCTGGCTCTTTCTGCGTAAAGATATCTCTTTTGGCACTAGGCTTGCAAGTGGTCCTAACAGCACCCTCAAGGGTGCTGTAGAGGGCCCTCTACAGTTACTGCATGGGCCAAATACACTGGTATGGCACCTCCATAACTAATACATCCCGCAATATACAGGCACATGCTTCAGCCTCAACACACCAGTACCGGTTCATGCAACCAGCAGAAGCATACTTTCAAATCTTTTTTAAAAATTCTTTCATACAGGTACACGTCAGAAACAATTTAATTTAAGAATTTGGACCTTAAAATAAATAAATGGAATTTACATACTGAATGTATTTTTATTCTGAAATATACATTTCAAAATATGCAAATGGAGAGATCTGGGTTAAGCAACATACATGTACAGTATAAGCAACTGCGACACGACCCAGTTTGCCAAGGAAACTGATAGGATCTTTATTCTTTCAGGGGATATCTTGAGTCTGTTTGGCTACTAAAATACAGCCTTCTCACATTTCACCCATGTGTTTTTTCTACCTACAGTATTAATGAACATGCAACAATTCTCAGTAAAGGATATCACCTCCGTGCAAACAAGACGAATTTTGTTAGGCATTAATTTGCACATGTTAGTAAGATCTGCCTGCAGAGAAGGGGGTCAGATTAACGAGATAGAACTGCTCCAGTTCACATAGATACATGTATTTAGGTTTTACAAGCACGTACGTTGGCTATGACCTATATATGGGCATTATGTATGCCACATGTACACATACAATGCAAATACATCACCTCGATTAATGTTACTGAACATGTTTCGGTGCATGTAAATACATGTACTTAGAGTGAGATGAAAAATGTGTACATGACTGAACATGGAGGCTACAATACATGTAACATTTGAATTTCTTCCAATTAATCTTTTCTTTTTACTTCTTTTAAATGTGTGAAAACTACTGGGCATCCCTTATAGTTAACCCTACCGCAAAGTGATTTTTCTTTTTTCAAATGTGTCAAACTTTTAAGGCTTTACGTATCAATTGAGGGAGTAGATGTGACGTCATTTGAGGAAAACTTTATTCCCTAATCAAACTATGACCTGAAAATATTTATGAGACAATTAAGCAACAAATTGCACACAAAATGGTATACTTAGAAAAGACAAATTCGGACATATTTTTGAGCTGATATAGATCTAGCTTAACATTCTAAAATTTCATCAACATTTGCAAGAGCAGAAATATCAAAAAGGCACCAAAATGCCCCCTAAACAAAAAGGCAAATTGAAATTAAAAAATGAAGTTAAAATTGGACACAAATGGTGCATTCATGAGGAATGCATAATACACAATTACAGCGTGTGGACCATTTAAGCAGTGTACCATTACTGGCACATGTACGTACATATCCCTATCTGCCAAGACCTCAATGCTGAGTATAGTCCGTATACGAGACACGTATTCAAATTACTTTACTTCAGCTACTGGGATTCCACATGGGAAATGGATGAAAACTCTGACTGGCTAGCGGCACCCATTTAATTCACGAGTTATTTCCTACTGTACAGTAAAGCGATTTGGGTGCCATCACATGTAAATCCACATACATGATACTCAAAAGGGAAAGCTCTATCATATTTGCACTGATCCCGCAGGGTGGATTGAATGGGGATCAATGTGAGAAGGATTGGGGTCTGAATCCAGATCTATGTAATCCCCCTACTTCATCCCCCTTAAAGGGGAAGGAGCATGTCCCAATCTGATCCTGCGATGTCTGAGTGTAAACTGCAATTGTTTGATTAGCTATACCCCGCAATTTGATATAACCACATCCAGTGGGCTCAGGACAGCGGAACTTTGAAGTCCAAAACACGACAAATTTGTTTGCACTCACTCACTCAGCATGAGTCGAAGGCATATAAAGCAACCATTCACTGAAGAACATGTATGCTGTGCTGGTCCCCAAGCCGTCCAATGCTAGATACATGTATATATTCATGACTGGTACTTCATCCATGATAGATGGAATCATGCCAGTTATTCTAGTTCAATGCTATTTTGGCAATTCGATCTAATACACCGTGTAGATAACTTTTAAGTCACCTTACATATGTGCTTTTGTTCAGTTTTATAGTTGGGTCTGTGTTTCTTTTGAAATTTACGTTTGTTTTCAGTCTAAATAATGCAAAATGTGCTCTCAAAAGGTCATCTTGGCCAGTGTTTGAAGTCATGCTATCCAATAAGGGTAGAGTGATAGCAAAGCATTACACAGATGGGCAAGTAAAGTACAACAAAGGATTTGTGGATAATCGGCTTGAAACCGCCTAGAAATTAAAACAAAAATGGATGCCAACAATCCATTTTTATGTGCTGTAATGAGGGCGGCAGAGTTTCAAGGAAAATGCTGGCAAAGCCAGCTAGAGGGGGGGGGGGTTTGCATTGATTGTGTACCGTGCAAAATAATTGAGCCATAGTCCGTACTCAGTCGTACTCAGTCGCAAAGAGTCGACTGACCATCAGCCTTAAAAGGTCAATTGAAGCAGGATCCAGTGTAAATGCAATGCAGTGGTTCCTTCCCTGTGGTTTTATTACCCTCGAAAAATTGTGTTTGCAGGATTCAATGTGACCTGCAGTCCCCTTGAATCTGCCTTAAGACTTGTTTGCCGACCAGAATTAGAAGCCATTACTGCTCAAGCGTAAGTTTTTGCGTTCACTTTATAGCAGGCAAAAATTGACCGCGAGTACAGTCATAGCTCATACTCAGTCATAAAAGGTTGACTGACCATCAGTTGTAAAAGGTAAACTGAAGCAAGATCCAGTGGTTTTAATGCCCTTGAAAAATTATGTTTGCAGGGCTCAATAAGAACTGCAGTGCTCTTGAATCATTGGAAGCCATTTTTTTTTCCAGGAACCAAACCCCCTTTCTCCCTGCAACACACCCATGGTAACAAATTTAATAAAAGAAATCTACAAATGACTTTTACCTTTGAGACTGAAACATTCCATTCTTTTTGTGAAGTCTTTGATATTCTGTGGGTAAATAAAAGACAAAAAAAATTCATCACTGACACGTTTTGAGAAATACCGGTACATCGTCGGGAAACACAGATATTAAAAATTTGGGTTTAGGAATGGTATGGGGAGAAGTGGCTAAGACTTACATCCAATTGCTGGGACCTGATTTCGATACAATGGTTGAAATTAGCAGTTCGAAACATTTTATGTGAAGCCCACAGCTTTATTCTCCTGCGGATAGTTTTTTTCCACTTAGCTGTTTCTTTAGACTGTTATACTGCATGTTTTACTGATGATTGTGATAATCTGCATTTCAACCATCACTTTGCTTAGCAGATGGTAATATGCATAAATTTGTTTTCACAGGCCTTATGCATGATGCATTCCTGTACTGGAAACACATGGGAAATCTGGAAAGGCATAGTGGGAAAGCCACTTCCCGAATTAATTGTACAGAGTTGAATGAGAAATCACGTGCTGGTCTAGGCTTTAGACCCTGTGCGTGACAAGCAACGTGTGACATCTGGACTGGTTACCTGATCCTTTTGAGTATGGCCTTAAGCCCTGTCTGCACTGGACTTCTTTTGGTCAAACTTAGGTACTTTTCCCATTTTGAGTCCAGTGCAGACATCCAAAGAAGTTTTCTACTTGGTTACTTTTACTGAGTTAAACGTTTACCGGCCAAATTCTGCCCAGGAAAAATTCCCGAGTCACTTTTCCCAATGAGGAAAGTCCAGGGTGGACAGCGTGAGTTGGGAAAAGCATGGGAAGCAGCTCAGTAGAGTGTACATTTGGCATGAGCTCAACGGCATGCTTCATTCAGGGAAACGACACATGCACATTGCACATTTCATCACAGTGTGGCATGTGGCAGATATTTCCAGTACATTCGCAACCTCTTTTGGTCCCCATTATGGCAGAAATTATGACTGATACAACTGATGTTGACAATGTACCATTTCCAGATGACAACGAGGATCTTAACATTGTGGCTAAGGATGAAAACAAATGAAGAAAGGTCACACAAAGTACCCTCGTAGGTAATTGCACTGACAGCTCTGTTACCGGTACTTCTCCCAGTGGTCTCGGTAAAATTTTCCTGTGTCGAAAGTCCAAATGCAGACAGCTGTCACATTTGACGATTTTTCATTTTATCATCACCTCGGTAAAACCCTTGGGGAAAAAAATCCAGTGGGGGGGGGGACAAGGCTTTTCAGTGCATCAGATTACATTGGTTGCCAGGTATATGTACATGTACACTCATGGTACTGCCTTCTGTCAGTACTGGCCATGTTTTAATACCAGCCAAACCAAGATACTGTACACTGTAAATACATGATTAAACTGACCCCCAGTCTGGTTTATCAAGGCACAGAACATGCAAGATTGTTTTTTCAGAAGTCACTTCAGAGGGTGGTACAACCTATTTGCCCCTCCCCCTTTAACAAAAGAATGGGGGAGGGACCTTTTTCTTCTGCTCTCAACACTGCTACATGATAACTTTCAGACTGAAAGTTTCACCCAGGTAAGGAACAGGTTTCAGTGCCATTTCTTCCCTTCATGAATCCTGGATCTGCCACTGTTTTACGATTCACAAACTCAGTGCGCTAACTCAAAATCCAAGGTGAGGCAGTGTGTGGAACTTTGTACCACGGTATGGACACTAGTCTTGATTCAAGCCAATCAATTTGATCTCTAGCACCAGGTTCCTAGCACCTGAGAGTTACTGACTTTGGCTACCTCTGAAGATGTGGGATTCTAGGCTTTGTCCAAATAATTCTTGACTGCTGCCCGCAGTAACCCACATCTATGGAAACCACTTGCAACATGCACTTCCCTATGGATGAATGCATTGCTGCAAGCCATAGTCACGACTTAGGGACTCAGCCAAAGAAATGGTAAGGCACTGTAAGCCACATCCAGTCTAAACGATTACAAACTTAATTTCTACAAGTACTTTAAGAATTTAGTGTTTCTGTACACAGATGTAGTCCTTATTTCTAAGTTACCGGTACACATCTCCATTACTCTTTGAAAGTATGGTATTTACTGCACAAGGCATATGATCTCTTCCTCAGACTCTTCACACTCAGCCAAGGTTCCTGAATACGGATTCTCACTTCAAAACTCTGAACGTGGCAAGCAGCTGCCAGTTCAAACAAAATCCTCCTTGCGTTGACAATGGCTACGATACAACACAGTTCAGTAATCCCATTTCCTACATTTCAACATGTTGACACCGGAAAGATTAAGCAAACAGGTAAATGTTTTACAGCCCAGGCACTCTTCGGGCACATACTGGTCCCGAGAGACACACCTGTTCAGACTGCAATGACTTCTTTTTCACACGCACCGAGGCAATTTAATATTTTATTTGCCCAAGCATTTGTACATACATGTACGTGGAAAAAGTCCCAAGGTATGGTACAACTGGCAAATCGGATTGCATCATAGCTTCACCTCCATGTAGCTGTATGCATCAACATTCAAATGGAGACTCTAGGAATGGCTTTACCAAGGTTATTCAAACATCCAATCCATCAGACACTGTCCACTTGTCAAGTGCTTATGTGCTGTGCTTGACTAATTGGATTAGAACTCAGGACAATCAATATACACAAGAATAATCAAGGTGGAAGCCCCCACAGGCAGGACAATCACCTGGGTATTCTGATTAATGGCACAAAACAATAAGCCACTTGCGAGTTAAATTTGAATAAAATCTGGTACCCTGTGTTATCTGATTGCACAGAAACGTAACAATTCGAATTCCCCAGACTGAAGACACTGTTGCTATTCGTGATTCGGGGCAAGCTTTTGCATAGCGACCACCATCTCTGAAATGGACTGGTTCCTTTGTGCCATTCTTATCCATTGAGAACAGTGTATTGTTGCAAGGCGTCTCTTATGTAACTAAGCAAAAGCTTGCCCCAAATCACGAGGTATAGCAACAGTGGCTTTAGTATGGAGGATTCCAATTGTTATGTTCACGTGAATTTAAAGAACTCAGTGTACCAGATTTTATTCTAATTTAATTCGCAAAAGCCTTGTTGCAACTGTGCCTGTGAGCAGAGAATATCCAAAACCTGACAGTGACACTATCCAAGCTACTGAGGCTTTGCGTGGTAGCCATCTTGCAGGGCAGTTCTTTTGTTTTACAGGGAAACCTCCTTTGTCATACCCTGTGAAAAAAAGCACTAGCCTGCAAGAGGGCAGCTATGCAAACCATCTACACTGCTACAGGCTGATACCTGTGTGTCGATACAATGAATGTGCAGCATGGATATAATAAATGTTTATGAGTACAATGGTAAGAATAATTTCATGAGGTTACATGAAGAGAAGCTGAGTGGAGTGGAACTTTAAAAATGTCACTGAAACTTTCCACTGAGGAATGTGAAATATTGTTCTAGAACAATGCCTGAAAAACAAATCCTGAAAAAAAAAATCCTCTTTGAGACTTTTGAGTACAACTCACCGTCCAATTTTCTCACCCTCGCATAAAAGCACAACAGGAAGTTTTCATTATAATGCAAGCCACAATTGAAACTTTGGCCGTGTGAAAAGCCAGGACTAACAGTATGTGTATGCCTTTCTCACACGTGCATGCTACAGCAGTCTTTGCCTGAGTGAAAGGCTGGGACTGTGCTTCTTCATGCAAGCAATGGCTTATTAACAAGTGCATATAATGGTTACCCTGTTGAACATGCTGAACAAGACAATGTAACATGATCAACAATCCACCAATCAGATAACAGGGATTCATCCAGGTACTGTATGAATAAAAAATTATCATAGAGAATACAATCAATTCAACTCTACTTATACACATACCA